ACTAGGCATTATGCTAAGTATCAGGGATCCAGAAAATAAAAAGAGAGGAAAAAAAAGGGCTCAGTTTCTGAATTCAAAGAACCGGGGTCTCTAGTGAGAATCAGTACATAAATAGAATAAGTAAATAGAATGTAATACCGAGAGATTGACTGGATATGAATTAATCTCTGGGGATACCAGCAGGGGCTGCTCACTCAGACTGTGGCTCAGAGAGTCAAGGAGACTTAATTTAGAGTGAGCTGGCTGGGCTGGAAGGAAGACTGGAGGGGGGGCTTTGTGGAAGAGCACGTAGCATTTGAGGACTCCTAAGCAGATCAGTTGTGCCCAAGTCTGGAGGAAGTTGGGAAGTGACAGAGTGGAGGCAGGGACTAGGGGCTGGCAGGGATAGGAGGGCGGGTGGGGATCCCAAGAAGTCTGCCTGCCACATGGAGTGGAATTTAACTTAGAAAGGGGAAGTAGATGGAGAATGTCAAACAGGTGAGACACATCCTGTATGAATGAGCTAGGAACAGTCTAGGAGTGGTGGGAGAAGGGATGTGACACAAGGGAGGCTGAAGGCGGGGCGTGCCCAGTCATAACTGTTCTCCCTGAGAAACAGTGAAGATCTTAACTGAGCTGGTGCAAATGGGGTGGAGGAGAGCAGGAAACTAGGAAATTGGAGGACAGAAAACCAACAAGAACCAGTACTGAATATAGAGGTTTTGTTAGTGTAGGGGGCAGATCGCGGAACAGTATCCATGGGAGGTCTTATTTCACTTATAAGCCTTTCAGTTTATTGTGAAAATAAATAGTGAAAGCCCAAGTCCAAAAGGAAGGGAAATGTCAAATTGTGGTGGCTGCACACCTGTGCTGCTGTGATTGTGAGTCCCAGCTAAGGTAATAAAGAACCACACTCTACAATTGTTAATAAGGCTTGGAAAACTCTCTGCCTGGTGAGGCATAGACAATTGAGAAGGTGACTCTCAAATGCATGTGGTCACTTGAGTAGTTGCTTTCCTTGACCAATGTTTATTTTTCTGTCAATGTGTTTTTTCTTTAACTGAAGCATTAAGTAATCATACATACACACACACAAATGCACACACACACACACCCCATAATTTTTACACCAAAAAAAAAAATGGAGATACATACACTACAAAGGGAAGCTGTATCTTGTGCTTTAGCTGGATAGAAGAAGAAAATAATTACTCAGAACAAATTACTGTTTTTTTAAAGATACAAAATAAACTGACCTTAACATAACTCAAGCAGCTTGTCTCTTTGTGAAGTTAAACTATAGAAAATACATTTTTAGCTGCATTTTTATAGTTTAATTGCCATATTTTCAGTTTCCTTTCTCCTGTGAGATTCTGAGCATAAGCTCTGTTATGTCCCATGCCTCCCAGATGAACAAGGAGTATGACTTTTGGTAAATGTAAATGAAGATTTATTCTCAAGTTTTTATATAAATAGAAATAAGAAAAAAATGCTAACCTATGAAACTGAAGGTTGTTTGGTAGAGCTTCTAAAATAAAAAATAGCTAAGTGCATATGGACGCTTCCAAATTGCATATTTTAAATTATGAAGATGCAGTCCTTTAGAGTTTCTGGGCATCAACCTGCATTAGAATTTAATATATGTTATATACCAAGTTCCGACATTTGAAAGCCTTAATAAAGTAGGATTTACACATTTAAAGCATGTCCTTATAAGAAATCCTGTTATTTGTGACAATATGAATGAACTTTGGGAACATTATACTAAGTGAAATAAAACAGACACATAAAGACAAATACTGCATTATGCCATTTATGTGTGAAATCTAAAAAAGTCGAGATCATAGAAACAAAAAGTAGAATAGTGGTTACTAGGGGTTAGGGGGTGAGGAGATGGAAAGATACTGATCAAATTATATAAGCCCCCAATTATGCAGAATAAGTACTGTTAGGAGATCTAATGTACAGCATGGAGACTATAGTTGATAATGGTGTATTGCATCCTTGAAATTTGCTGAAAGTAAATTTTAAGTGTTCTCAACACACATGCACACACACACGCGCACACACACACGTTTAACTATGCAAGGGGATGGCCGTGTTAATGAACTTGACTGTAGTATCATTTCACCAGGTATAAGTATACGTACATCAAATCACCCCATTGTACATCTTATATGTACACAATATTTATTTGTCAACAATAGCTCAGTAAAGCTGGGTAAAACATTTTATTCAATGTAGACTTATCTGTCATACTGGTGCTACAAACGAACTTTAAATTGGTATGAGTTTTGCAAACCAAAGGTGGCAAGTAAAGTGTATGAGATCTTCTTTTGCAAATAGGCCATAATTGAATATGATGTAATCCAAATGTTCTGTGAAATTAGACATGGAATGGTGGATTTCTTATGATGTTTTGTATATCTCCTAATATTCTTAGGTATGTTTATGTATCCTTATACTCCTTTAAGAAAGAACAGTGAGGTAAATGCAGCAACTGGAAGAATGTTGTCCAAATTATACATTTTATGGAGAACATTGTTTATTAATAAAATTGAAAATATTAAATATTATCATCTGAATGAACTAAGCACTGCACAAATGTAAGTTGCTTTTTTATAACTTGATTTTTTAAAACTTTCTAATATTCTTATAACACTTTACCATCATTATAATTATTTAAAATGAATAGAGTGCTGTTGAAATATTAGTGGCTAAGGGACTTCAATAAGTCTATTTCACATCCTGTGATGAAAGACACAAAGGGGACATGGACCAGAAAATACATATAGTAATTCCAACCTCTGCAACTTTTTTGCTATTTTCCTCTTTCTCTAAAGCAATTTTTCCCCTCAGGATGCATGCTTCTTCTGGTGGGGTAGACACTGAGCAGAGAAGAGGAGAAGTATAGCCCGAGTTCTTGTCCCATCCATGCTGTTCATGGTCCTTAGTATCTCGGGCAAACCTTTTGGTTTCTTTGGACTTCATAGTTTCTGGTCATAAAAAGAGAGCACTGGTTAGACCATACTTAGCTCATTTCTGGCTCTAACCAGTGATCCCAGGCCTCTCTTCATGGTCTTTTTTTCTTGAATTATCCATCTACTACCTTTTAATTGCAAATTAGTCACCATTTTAAAAACATAAACAAATAAACACTGTTTTTTTTATAACTCAGATTTCTCAGCATTTCCCATCATACATTTAATACGTTTTCAAGGTTGCAGACAATTGCAGGTTCTGTCATGACACACACAGAAGGGACCCTGTGAAGTAATGGGGTTCCATGGAAACAGAGTGTTAGTTCCTGCTTGCATATATGCACTCAGGGTGCTGGGAGGGCCATATGGCTGGCAGGCTCTGTGGAGTCAGAACATTGACATCCTGCTGCCTTATGTTTTTTCCCATTTCCAGTCCCTGCCCCTCAGCAGCATGATGTGAGACAGATGCTCGGAACACATAGGAGGCATTCTCATTGCATCCCTGCCGCACCTGAGGGCTGGATGCTGGTAAAGAAGGAAGTCTTCCATGTTGTAACTAGGTCTTCTGTATTGTCCTTAGGTCTTTGATATAGTCATCGGGCCTTCCATATTGTCATTAAGTCTTCCATATTGTCATTAGGTGTGTGCATTCTAGCTTAACTAGGTCACAGAGACATGGAGCAGAATGGGCTTTGAGAAAATTCAGAATAGTAGGCTCCTTTCTGGCTTCTACCTGAGGGTGAAAATTAGAGGGCTACCTCAGTAATTTACAAAATGCCTTTTCTTTTCCCTCTCACTGCCTTCCTTACACTACACTTGGCTCTCACTGAAATAGCAAGCGGACTAGTTGTTTCTCTCAGGTGTAAGAATTGCTCTAAAAAAAGGTGCTTAACTCTGACAAAGCCTTTAATGGTGCACACACAAACAAACACTTCTCATCTATGGCTATCAATAGAACGATTGCTATTATAATGTCAAATACACTTCTGCATAGCTCCATGAATATCCAGTTGGACATCAGAAAATGCTAGATCAATTCTGTTCCAATTCCACATGTTAGGAGATCCAGCATCCTCACCTTTTGTCCCTAACTGCTGCTCATGTGACAACAAAAAACTTCCAAAAATTTCCAAATTCTACCGTAGTGGGTGTCACTATCTCTTTTGAGAACCACTATTCTAAGTCTTATGGGAATACAATTTTCCTTAAGGACAATGAGGATGTACCTGTGGACTTCAAGAGAGAAATACTCTCAGGGAAAAGAGTGGGCTCAGGCCAGGATAGTGGGACCAGGATCTGAGTTAAGCACTCAAGGAAGACCTTGTCTGTAATTTTCTATTAAATTTGGAGGACTGAGATGGAAATTGTAGGCAGTCATGGTTAGGGGATACTAAATTTGTCCTTTTGTATGAATAATTATCTATAACAATTCAAAATTCAAATTGACTAGTTGTAGCTTTCATTAAAGATGAATACATAGACATAGACATATAAAGTTGTGTAGAAAGACAGGAAAAAAGTATCTCACACTACATGCAGGACCTGAACCCAAAGGAAGATGGTTGCATCCTCCTGAGGACTAGTATTCCCAAGCTCTGCTCTGTGACTAGCATGGAAGGAGAAGGGGCTCATGGGAGCTGGAGTTAGTTGGCAGGGGCAAGGCATCAGACTCTCAAGTCAATGGCTCTAGGCAGATGTGAGCCAAACTTCTGCATTCCAGAGATTCTAGCAGCTGCTCTTACTAACATGGAGCCCATCAGCTACCTGAGTTTTGGAGCACTTAAGATGTGCTTACTTCTACTTAGGATGTTCTGGAAGTCTAAGATATGCGCAGAACTTCAGAACTTCAAAGACTTTGTAGAAAACAAAATGCAGATTATCTCATTAACAACTGACATACTGGAGAAAGGAAAGGAAAAAAGTAATTGTCATCGATTTCTTATTAAAGTGGCAATATTAAAACGCATTTGGCTAGATAAAATATATCATTAAAATTAACTTGATTCCCAGGGCCCAGCAAAGGGACCAAGTCTCCAGAGCCCTGAAGACAAGGGGTAACACACCAAATTATGGACTCATTTTCCACTCCACCTTCATTGGCCGAGCAGCAGCCAAGAACAAAGACCGCATCTCCCGATACCTGGCAAACAAATGCAGTATTGCCTCACGAATCGATTGTTTCTCTGAGGTACCCACGAGTGTATTTAGGGAGAAGCTTCGGGAACAAGTTGAGGAGCGGCTGTCCTTCTATGAGACTGGGGATATTCCACGAAAGAATCTGGATGTCATGAAGGAAGCAATGGTTCAGGCAGAGGAAGCTGCTGCTGAGATTACTAGGAAGCTGGAGAAACAGGAGAAGAAACGCTTGAAGAAGGAAAAGAAACGACTCGCTGCGTTTGCTCCTTGCATCTCCAGAAAACAGCAGTAGTACTCCAGAGGAGTGTGAGGAGATTGCTGAAAAACCCAAAAAGAAGAAAAAGCAAAAGCCCCAGGAGGCTCCTCAAGAGAATGGAATGGAAGACCCATCTATCTCAGTCTCCAAACCCAAGAAAAAGAAATCTTTTTCCAAGGAGGAATTAGTTAATAATGATCTTGAAGACACTACTGGCAGTACAAGTCTTCCCAAGAGGAAGAAATCCTTACCCAAGGAGGAAATAACTAGTGATCCTGAAGAGGCAGGCAACAGGAGCGTCTCCAAGAAAAAGAGGAAATTCTCTTCCAAGGAAGAGCCAGGCAGCAGTGGACCAGAAGAGGGTGCTAGCAGCAAGAGCAGCTCCAAGAAGATGAAAAAGTTCCACAAACAACCCCAGGAAGATTAGAATGGACATTCCCTGGGAGGGGGCCTTCCATAAGTTGACAATTTCCCATCCCATGTCCTGCCCCCAATAAAAAACAAAATTCAGGGAAAAAAAAAATTAACTTGATCTGTTCATTGGTGCTTTTCAATTGTGACTACTAAAATGTTTAACTTTACCTATGTGGGTCTCATAGGTAGCTTACATTCAACAGTGCTGATGTAAATAAAAGAAATGTTTGAGGGGAAGCAGGGCACTTGATACCAGGTTATAACTGATTCAACAATGCTGAACTGAACTTCTTGATGCCAGGCACAGAGCCAGATGTTGGAGAAACAGTGGTGAGTGAAGCAGACACAGTGTCTGTTATATGACAGTGTCAACAGGATCCTCAGGACAAAAGCTAAATAATTATAAAATTATAAATTATGGGACATATCATTCTATTAAAGTCAAGGCTGCCAGGAGAGAATATAGCAAGCTACTAGGCTAGATCAGAAAGTCAAGTCAGCCTTTCTGAAAAAATGACATTTACTGAGTTCTGAGGTATGACTGGGATTTAACTAGTGCTGTGGGCTGAACATGTGTGTCCTATTTTTACCTGCAAGATGGTGGTGTAGGAGGTGGGGACTTTGGAAAGCAATTAGGTTATGAAGATGCAGAACACATGAATAAGATTAGAGTCATTACAAAAGAGGCTCCAGAGAGTCTTCCCCCCCACCCCCGTTTACCATATGAAAACACAGTAAAAAGTTGATGGTCTCTGACCAGGAAGGGAGCCCTTACCAGATACCAGATCTGTCAGAGCCTTGTCCTTGGGCTTTCCAGCTTCCAAAAGTATGAGAAATAAATTTCTGTTGTTTATAAGCCACCCAATCTATGATTTATTTTGTTGCTGTTGTTTTTAACGGCAGCTGGAATGTGCTAAGGTAGCCAAGCAAAGCATTGTTGAAGAAGAGCATAGGATATAGAGGGAAAATTATGTGTAAAGACTCTGAGGTGAGAAAATGATGACTCAGGTCACTGTGGTGAGGTGATGCTAACATGGTGACTGAGATGGGGATGAAGAGACAGACACGGGGCAGGCTCACTGTTGGCCATGTTAGCACTTTCTAAGGGATTTTCTTTGGCAGTGAAATGATTTGCTTTATATCTTTAAATGTTCCTCAGGCAAGGTGGTACCTAGTTCAGCCACAGCAAGTGTGAGTGTAGGAGCATTGATAAGAGAGATGACTGCAGCCCACCTGAGTGATGGATGTGGCATTTGGTCCTGGCAGCGTGGTGGCACTGTTATTCTCTCTCCGCGTGCACACACTGCCTACTTCTGTCAACATAGTTACGATGTTCTCTTCCTTGAGTGGTGATTGATCCCTATTATAATTCCTTCTTTCCATTTGCTGTTAGTCTTGAGTAATTACTGCATTTTTTTTTTTGTCTTCTTCAGATTTTGCCAAAGACAGAAGGTGGCTTTCTGTTCTCTTGCCTTATTATACCCGATCAAAGTCTCTCTGCCTTCTTTTTAAAAAGTGACATGTAAAAAGAAAGCGTTCTTTCCTTGTTCTTGTCATGGGTAGATATTATAAATTTCTTGCATTCAGAACACCAAAGAACATTACTGATAATATCTGTGCTAGTCCAGAACAGACATTCTTTTTTGCTACTGAAATGCTTGGAAATTTTGATTTGCTTCTTAACACTTGATGGTGGAAACTTTTGAAATCTAGAACAAACACATAAATTAATTTGAAAGTATATATATTTAAGCTTATTAGATACCTTAGTCTATATGTTGTTGCTACAAAGAACTACCTGAAACCGGGTAATTCATAAAGGAGAGAAGGTTCCTTTGGCTCAGGATTCTAATGTCTGGAAACGTTCAAAACTGGTCCACCAGTGAAGACTTCATGCTGCTTCCTCGTGGCAGAAGGTGAAGAGGAGCCAGGTGTAGGAAGATGACACTGCAAAAGGGGAGGCGAGAGAGGAAGGAGACCCTGCTTGTCCCAACCATCAGATCTCACAAGAACCAGTAGTGTGAGAACTCACTCATTGCAGCAAAGACTTAAGAATTCACCCATTACAGTGAAGATGGCACCAAATCATTGATGAGAGATCTGCCATGTGACCCAAGCACCCACATTAGGCGCCACCTATGAGGTTTGAGGGGACAAACATCCAAACTATAGCATTAAGTGATATTTTATATTGCTAGAAATGTTTAGAAATTATAAAAATGTCTCCAGAGGAAATTCTCCTTTTCTATCCATTTCCTGAACTAGTCCCTGAACAAGTGAACATTGCCGTTCGTATCTTGTGTCTCCTTCCAGAGATGATTATTTCGTACACATTCGTCTAAAGGAGGAAGTACCTCACCCTTTATTTTCTTCACACGCATGGGCATACCATAAAATTGTTCTCCATAATTCGTTTGTTCTAGTTTTGTCTTTATCATGGCATGATTTATGTAGGGTAATGAATACAGATCATAAGTCTATAACTCACTATAAGTCTACAACTTACATATACCTGCATAAAGCATGTACCATCTCAATCCATCTGCAAACTGCCTAACCACGCAGTGTCCTGTCTCAAATGGCTTCTGTCATCTGGGCTGCAAAGGACCTTTTGAACAAGTTCTAGGCTGTCGACCTTTGTCAAGATAACAGCAGAAACTTTTACCATCTAACACAGAGCAAGCCATGCCACTGCTCTCATAAAGACTTGCAAAGGACATCCTCGACATGAAGAGCCTCTAAGGCCCTAAATTTCTGACCCTCCCTTACCCCTGTGTGGGATGGGTTACATAATTTGCAGGGCTCAGTGCAAAATAAAAATTTGGGGCCCCTCTTCTGCATCTCTAAGATCTCTCAAATGTAAAAAGATAGGTCATTTCCCCCTTTCTTTCATGGTCTCTTTTGATCCATCATGCTGATTTTATTAACCTGGTGTTCCCTCAGCATGGATGCACTAAGTAAGGGAACTCATGGAGTCCAGAGAAGGCCTACTCTGATATTGTGAGTACATCTGCTGGGGTGCTCACTGGCTCTGAAACAGCTTCTTCCCCTCCCTCCAGCTGCAGGACCCAGAGGATGTGTCCTAACTGGAAACAAGTCTGTCTAGCCAGACACCTTCCCTTCCTGCAGGTTCCCCAACCCAATCCACAGTAGATGAGCAAAGGCCAAAGGTATTGCACACTCTGTACCAGGCAGGATGCCACAGGCACCTGGATCTGGGATGAGTGAGAGACTTCCCCACCGAGTTACCTGTGGAATTCATCCCTGAGTGGCATGGCCACCTCTGTGCTCTGCCTTGAGACACTTTGGGTCATGTATGCCTAATGTAGACCCTTCCCGCTCCCCCATTCAGGCACCCAGCCAGATCTCCCGCAAGTAGGAGCAGGCTGGGAAGCCAAGAAAGTTCTGGAAGGATCATTCATGTCTTAGGATCCAAGCTCTCTCACATACTTTATTGTGCCATCAGATTGCACTTACAAAACACAAGTTCAAATATTTGAAAAAAAATTGATAATTTTAAGAAGATGACCAGAGGGTGATGGGTCTCCCAAACTCAGGGCCCTTCGGGCACAGGGTCCTGTGTGATGCACTGACTGTACACTTGTGAACCCTGGCTTGCCTGTGTGACATAACTCTATCATTTTCTCCACATGTCTGCCTCTTCTGCATCTACACTGGCTTCTCAGCTGTTCCTGAAGCATACCAAGGTGCAGCCCCTTGGGTTTCCTTTTTCCTCCCCCTGGAATGCTTCTCCTTCAGTTATAAATTTGACTCACTTCTTTGCCTTCTTCAAATCTTCACTCAAATGCCACTTTCTCAAGGAGATTTTTCTGTTTTAGAAACTAGTGTACTCTAAGAGCACATAACACTGACTGGCATGTGGCAGAGGTTCAGTAAATATGAATATATGATTGAAATATTTCTGTCAGTAAATAAATTAATAAAGTGATATAACTTTCACAGGAAAGAATACTCTTTCTCTCCCGTGTGTGTGTGTGTGTGTGTGTGTGTGTGTATGTGTGTGTATGTGACAGAGAGATTGGAAAAGGAGAAATGGGTATTGGTATTTTTAAGATAATGCATAGTTGAGCGAGAGAAATACTATTTGCAGTTAGTCACCACCAGCAGGTATTTTTCCACTGTATTGAAGGTGTAGGTCTCTGTAAAAATCAATGGATAAATAATAGCTACTCTCCCAAGGTCACATGAATAGGAAATGACAGAGCCAGAATTCAAGCCCAGGTATATTAGACTCCAAAGCCAATGCTTAATCTTGTCAGGGGTTGTTTGCATTCAAAAAGAGTTACCAATTAATCCGCAGTGACACTCTTGGTGGGCTGGGTAAGGAGGTCTTGTGACTGCAGGTCCTTCCCCACTGTCTAGTGCCCTTTGTTGTTGTTTTTTTTCCCCACCATGCTCCCTTCTTTATCCACAGCCCTAGAGAAGAGAGGCAGATAGACACTACAAGGTTATTCATTCCTGAGTTTCACCCCCAAGTATCGCCTCGTTCTTAAGGAAGTATGTGTCTAAAACCATCTCCTTACTCATGTCCATGGAGATTGAAGTGACACAAACCATCCAAAGCAGTGGGTAATCCAACAATCAGAGAAGGGCTCAGTCTTGAAAATATTTTTTTAAATTTTTTCCTCTCCACAGCACCTAGCAAAATTTGACTTGTCATGTATTTTAAGTAGTGGTTTGCTTCTTCTGTGTCTCCAATCCTCTCCATCCCCAATAAAATATAAGTTTTGTGAAGGCAGGGGTTCCTGTGTGTTTTATTTTTCACTGTACTTTCAGTACCTAAGATAGTGTCTTGGGCAGAATATGAGCCTGATATACAGAACCCTTTTGGAGGGGGGGCATTTTAATAAGTTTAAAATAATGCAGAAGGGTCAAATGCTTATAAAATTTTTCTTATCCTCATAAAGGATTTTGTCTTGTAATAAGTATTTTGTAGTGAATGACTCATTTATATGATATATAAACTTCAGGGTGGTTTAAATAGCAGTAGCA